ATTTGCTTCATGAAAAAAAAAATGGAATTTCTTTGAAACAGCTCTCAACCCTGTGGCAAATTGACATATTTGTGTAGAGAGAGTTGATCTTTTCCAGTTTCTACTATTGCAGATTGGATCTTTGTTTGGTTTCTTTTTTTTCCTGCTCACAAAGAAGTCAACTAAACTTGCAAATTGCATACCACAGACCCAAGTGTTATATCTTAAATCCAATAATCACCTTGATCATAGTTTTTGCACATCATCCCTTGACCATATACAATTTTCTTTTAAATGAAAATGAGAGTTCCTCACAAGTTTGATGTAGCTGTTTTGCTTGCTGTGTATTGCTCACATGCAGTTCAAGGTGCATTTTTGAAATATCCTTGGAAGAGTGCATCAGGCGAAATGAGACAGCCTTTGATTGAAAAAGGTAAGTCAAATTTGACCATCTATCAACTCAACAACCAAACTAATCACACTGAACCTGATATAAAAGAACCAGAAGAAGGAACCATCACAGTTACTGAGATACTGGAAAGCCAAGATCTTTCTTTCACCCCTGAAGAAAAACAAAATGTCATGAAGGAAGTAGCCATGATGGCCCAGCTTGGAAATTCAGGTGTGAAAATAGATTCAAATTGTAAGATTGAACTACATACTCAAAAAAAATAAAAGTAAAAATAAAAATAAAAGATGGCTGATTTGAAATATTTCAATAGTATTAGAGGCCAGACAATCCGAGGTAAACAAGCAAGGTGTGTCCAGCACTCAGGTTGTTTTTTTAGCAAATAGATGCCTTGTGTGATTCCTTTACTGAATATCAATGAAAATTCCCAACAGAATCAATGCAGGAAGATTGGAAATCCCTTAGAGATAAAATCATGATATACTTAGAATCTCCAGATTATCCCCTATGGCTAAAAGGACAATTGGAAGATCCAATAGACAATGATTTATTTAGAAAAGTTGTACAATTGAATGATTTGCAAAGAAATATAGCAAAAGAAGGGAAACATCATATGAATCAGGGAGAGATCATGTAAGCACCATTTTGTTTAGTATAAGCTTGATTAAATATTTAGGGCGCTTAATCAAATTAAGGATTTAATTTCTTGATAATGGTTGACAATTAGGGGTCTTGAAGAAATACCCCAAGTAAAAAGTTCTGAAGCAATGAATCAAACATACAAGCAGATAGTAAAATCTCTTTTGAGCCTGGCTGTTGACATAAGATCTTACATTCAAATTGAATTACCTGAGCGCCGCTTCTTATATATTCAAAGAATTATCTTTGAAACAATATACTACCTCTACAAGTATAAGCTCATATCTTCAAATGATCTCAGAATTCTATTTGAAAAATATGAAACAATAAAGGATTTTGCAAGATATGTTTTCCATTCCTACAAGTTTTCCCAAAACGTTAACAGTAAGATAATCCATATAAGTAGCAAGAATGTTCTTAAATATTGGCACTACTTCCCATTTATGGACATGTTAAAAGGTGGGCAGTAAATATGTTCCAGATTGCCTACATAATTTTAACTAACATATTCCTAATTCTGCTGCAAATTATCCAATAGGTCTTGGACCAGAACACATGGAGAGGTTTTCAAATCACTATACTAAAGTAGCTCTTTGCTTCTACCAAAACTTTCCCAAATACCCAAAAAATCACAGAATTGAAACAAAATTGAAAGATTTTGGAATTATTCCCTTGAGTGAACAGGAGAGACTGAATTTTCAAAAAATGCACAATTCATTACCTAGTGCAGATTACAATGTGAATCCAAAGGGTAGAAATATTGCAGAATTAATTGAAATCTTCACCAATTTTCACATCTTTGATAAGCACGGAAAGTTTCATACAGATTTAGCCTTACTGTTTCAACTCATAGAGAATCAGAAAGAGTACTGTCCACATCAATTTGAAAGATTCCAAGAAAATCAAAATGGATTTGAGGAAAAGTTTAATTTGATGTCCTCAAGTTTTCAGCTTATTCAAGAGCTTGAAAACATTCAGATCCAGCTAAAAAAACAGTTCAAACTATTCCAAGGGAAACTGACATCTTCTCCAGAAGAGAATGTGGAGATATCAAAGAAAAATATCAAAGATCTCCACATTTTGGCCAAGTACTTCAGAATTCTTTTATCAGAAAATTTGGATAAATTCAGGCCCATCAATCCAGAAGCTCCACTTTACAGATACTCTAATTGTGATATAATCAGGGCTAGAATAGATAATCTGAAATCAAGGATAATAGATCTAACCAAATATTATGAAAGTCATGCTTCTCAATCATCATTCATGTCTTTCATTTCTGGGTGGATCCCATCAAAGGGCAGCTAAATTTTGAAATATGTAGAAGGAATTTTGTCTTGAATCACTCAAGCACATTCTATTGATATATCTTGTGTTGAGGTGGACCAGGTTTGGGAAACTGAAAGTCACAGATGTGAGTCTTGTGACAGTTGACTAATCAATAAGAAAATTTTGGTTATGATTCAGTGAGTAAAAGGATGTGAATCAGGACCAGCCTACAATAAATGCATGTTTGGTTTTGATAGAAGCATACTGTGCTATAAGCATCTTAACATTTTGTTCAGGATATTTTTTATTGGTTTTTATGCTTGATGTGTGTGACTGTTTACATAGCGTATTTTGTCCTTTGTCTTGTTGGTTTTCTATGATTTATTGCCTTCTTTTTTGGAGTCTTGATGGTGGAAAGAGTGACAAGCTACCCCCATAAATTGTTGGGAAAGCCAATCAAACTGAACAACTGTTTCCAAGTCCAAAATTTGAACTTTGGCCGGTGGTTATTACAGCTTAACTCTGATCCTGAGAACAACACTTTGGTGTTTGATCACTGTGACAAAAATATGCCAAATTGGAGGCAGTTGACATGCAATATTACAAATTTGTCTTTGTAATATTGAAGCAATGGCATGCCTCCCAGATTGATAGGGTAGAACAATGTGGATCTTAACCATATATGGTGTTGGCCTGTCTCCAACATTGATTACAAAGCAGAAAATTCAGTGCAGCCCTGTCTGCAACCCTGAATCCAAGCTGCCACAAATTTGAAAAAAACCTTGACTTGTGGTGTATGCATTCAGAACCACTATTAGCATAATTGGATGGGTGGAGAGTATACCAGTTAAACTGGGATGTGCTCAACCAATTTAAATTGGGTTTATGTCAACCAATTGGATTTGCATCAAATTGCTTGACATCAACCTATTTTGAATTGGAACTATGCTGGTATTGAGCTTGGATAGGTCCAATGGTGCTTGCTCAAAGTTTGATATGCAAAACATTATGCATCCATATTCCATAAATAATCAAGAAATTTTTGCAGAGAATCTTGACAATCTGATGATGTAATCTGGAGGTTTCCCACCAAACCGCCTTCTTTGATATCATGATTTATGCATGTTTTATGTACATGCAACATGCAAACCAACTTCAAACACCACAAATGCAAACTTGATGTTACAGATTTATACATGCACCCATGATCTAATAAAACCCAACAAAATTTTGACTTTCTGGGAGAAAGACTAGCTTACTTAAAGGTCAATGATCATGAACCATAGTATGAATTGCGGTTGCAATCATGGAATTGCCCAATCTGGTTGAGTTGTACAAGGTTTTCCCCTCTTATGATCATTGGCTGAGGGTGGTTTAAAACTTGTAGAGCCTATTGAAACAAAAAAATTGGAATTCATGGTGTGAAAGCTAGGGAGAGTCTTGGTGAATTGGATTGAAAAGAGAGCATCATTGTAAGTAGAGTTGTGCAATCACCTTAATCTCTAGGATTCACTAAGAACACCCCTCTGACCCTGCTGAGCTTTAATTTGGGGGTAGAGCTCATCTAATTGAGTGGAGAAATCAAATGAAATTTTTTTTTGGAAACAGAAGGGATTAGACTGAAGACATTCTAGCTGGAGTCACTTTCTAATTTTCTCCTTGAAAGGTGCCTTATAAATCAGAATGTCGAGTTATGGATATTCATATTTCTCTTCTCTTGTTTCTGCTTTATACATGTCACTCACCTTTCACTCACATTTCACCTATCATGTAGTGTACCTGAGACAGCGGGCATGGAAGGATTCTTTCCTCATCCTTCCACATACCACGGCCACTCACCCCACCTCATGCCCCCTGATCTTAGCCCACTTGAGCTTATCACAGAGAGGTCAAGCTATGAACCATATTTCAATTTGTGGTGGCTTGTTGTTCCTCTCAGATAATTGAACAGAACCTCATTGTGTTCTTTTGCTTCTAATCTGGCCATTACTGAGCTATGTTGGGGGTTCAGATCAAAGGTCCATTTTCTGTCAAAGCAGGTGGGGAATATACAGGCCATACATTAGCACCTATAATTTAAACTTCTATAATCACTACTGACTAATGGTCGCTGATTAAAGAGTTGGTTCCATGGCCTTGGAATCCAGAGTCTTTACTTCAAACCCATAGAACTGTATCTGAAGTTTGGTAGGATTTTTGTTTGGAATGATCATCTTTTTTTTTGGTATTGAATTGCCCTTGCTATCCAGTCAATATGTGAATAAAAACAATTCTGAACAATGGTGTAAGTGACAGAACAAATGTTCATCTAATTACAAACTATTTCCTATTTTCTTGAGCATGTTGCATTCCTTTGGTTGTAATGTTAACCATGTATTTGTCCCAAAAATTTCATTTGATTGGTTTGATTTGATAAAGAAAAGTGGGAGAGATGATAAGAGAAATAATGATTCAAACAACATCCACCCAGTCAGGATTTTTTTTTTCTGTTAAGAATGTTATGTTTCTTTTGTAATGTTTTATGAATAATTCATTTGACTCATTGAATCAGCTTGATGGATGTGGTTCAATAGAAAGAGGAAACAGAGATGATAAGTTAAACAATAATTCAGACAGCATCCACTCAGAGGGGATATTTTTGTAAAAAAAAAGAGAAAGAGATAGAAGGCCAAAAAAAAGTGATATTTTGAAGGGGGGGGGGGGGATACTAAAGACCGGGAGCTTCTAGATCAAGCCACAAGTTGCAAATTCTTTTGGAAGAGGTATGGACTAAGGCCAAGAAAGTGGTGGCCTTCTTTTCATTTTCGAGGACACGAACGAAGCGAATGTAGTCATTCTCATCGATTTCGTTCATGAAAAGCTCTGCAAGAGATTTGAGAGCTTTGGTGGAGATTGAATGTTGCAGGAGAGGTGCCATAGAGTCAGTCGGATCTTCTTCTTCTTTTCGAGACTGACAACCCAAAATCCTATTTAAAAGGGATCTGTCCTCTTCTGTCGCCCCCTTACTATCTGAGCGCTTGAACTGTTTGGTGCAATTCGCGGAGACGGCTGGCGTTTCTCCTTTTCCAGGACAGATAGTATGTGAATCTTTCGGAGGAGTCGCTGGACCATCTTCTTTTTGAGATCGAGTACTAGAAATCCCGCAGGGAAGGGTTTTTTCCTCCTCCGTTACTCTGTTGATAGGACCTATCAATTGATCGGTACTCTTTGTGACGTGGGACATTGGATTTACGACCGCTGACATTTCTCCTTCTCGAGGGCAAACCATAGGTGGATCTTTTGGAGGAGTCGAAGAGTGAACTGGACCATCTTCTTTTTGAGACTGAGTACTGGGGATTCCGCAGGCAAGTGATTTTTCCCCCTCCGTTACACTGTTGATAGGACCTATCAATTGATCGGTACTCTTTGTGACGTTGGACATTGGATTTACGACCGCTGAGGTTCCTCCTTCTCGGGGGCAAACCATAGGTGGATCTTTTGGAGGAGTCAAAGAGTGAACTGGACCATCTTCTTGTTGAGATCGAGTACTAGAAATCCCGCAGGAAGGGGATTTTTCCTGCTCCGTTGTGCTGTTAATAGGACGTATCGATTGATTGGTACTCTTTGCAACATCGGACAATGATTCTGCGGCAGCGGATGTTTCTGCTTCTCGAGGACAAACAGTAGGCGAATCCATTGGAGTAGTCGAAGAGTGAAACGGGCCATCATCATCTTTTTGAGATCGGATACTGGGATCACGACTAGCAAGGGATTTTTCCTTCTCCGTTGTTTCATTAATAGGTCCTGTCAATTGATCGGTCCTCTTCGTGACATTAGATGATGAGTCTCCTTCTTGAGGACGGGCGGCAGGTAGCTCTTTCAGAGGAGTTGAAGCGTGCGCTGGACCGCCTTCTTTTTGAGATCGGGTGCCGGAAGTGCCATTGGGAGTAGGGGTGAAGTCGTCCTCTTCAAATGCTTTATACATAGCGTCAAGCATCATCTGGTCCTCCCTTGACTCAGCTATTGGCTTGGGATATTCGTCATCTGTCAACTCGTCCTCATCGTTGCATCAACAGCTGATGATCCAGCTTCTTGACATGGTTTGGTAGACGGGTCTTTGAGAGAGGTATCAGAGCCAGAGGGAGGATCCCGTTCTTTTGATCGAGTATTAGGCGTTCTGCTTGCAAGTGATTCTCCTTCTCGAGGACGTTTCGCAGGTGTGGGAGCCTGTTCGGGTCGGCTATCAAGGATTTCGATATCGCTATCTTCATCATTGTGGATGGAGGAAGAGGTGCGCTTCTTCGGGTTGACTTCTTCTCTCTTGACGACAGTATCATCTTGCTTGATCGGACTTTGAGCGATTTTCCTTGGGTTGAAGATTCGATCGGCGAGATGATAGATTTTGAATGGCTTGTTCTTCAGTTTGGCGAGACTGTTTCTTGGATTGATTCGGGTGAGTTGATTCCAAGTCTTCTGATCGGCCGTGAGTGTGTGGGTTTCATCGTCCCAACCAAACCCTTGCTGGCCCCTTAGAAACTGGTAATCAAAGAAGGCAGTTTGGATGGAGCCCTTCTGGTGCTTGATCTGTCTGTCGGTGAGATCCAGATCGAATGAGTTGTTGAGCTGCTTCCGGACGGCCGTCCATCCTTGGATGTTCAAGTTCCCGTCAGCGATATTCCGAAACGCCCGTCCTTTATCGATTTGCTCAATAATCGACTCGAGCAGTTTGACTTTTTGCTCATCCGACCAGGAGTGATAGCCTCTCTCCATCTGGCTTGACATGAGTATGTAGACTGCTCCGGTTCGTCCCAGAGGATTCATAAGTTATTAGCTCGTCTGATCGATGTATGTACTTGCTGGTGGTGGATGGACTCACGAAAGTATCACCTCACTTGAAGATACTGAAGTAAATAGTTGAACGACCTTTTCCCTCTATGGGAGTCCTCCCCGTGCCAGCCGGTGCCCTGTGAGATCGGTTGCCGGTAGCGGTTTTCCTCTGTACACTGTATGTTTTGTATGGACTTGTTCC